CTCTAAACGTAGCCTTGTCTCATTATTGGAGGGAGCTGTTATAATCACACTGGGGATTGCTATGCTCTGCATGCTCCCCTGAGCTTGAGTCACTTAGCTCTTTTAAGAGCTTGTTCCTGACACGCTCTCCTTGGAGGAGGGGTCTTCACCACACAGTCCTGGATGCTGGAGGTTCATACAGGGTGGAAGGAAGAGTTCTTTCCCACACAGTCCTGGAGGACAGAAGCTGATCCAGGGTGGAAGGAAGACGGCGAGACTCCAGTCAAGATACGGCGGTTGCAGAGTCTGCGGTGGTTGCGGTGTCTGCTGCAGCGCTTGGAGTCCTCAGGAAGCACTAGGAGCATCCGTCAACGGAGGGTACTCAGTCGGAGTACAAGGAGCTCCGTTACAGTAGGGTATGGAGCGACCGTTTGTCGCGGATAGGCCGTGAAGTCGATGATGTAGCCCTGCACTGTTTGTCGGATCCAGCTGTCTGTGGAGATGGTTTGCCATTCCTGAAAGAAAAGGGAGATACGACCTGCAATACGAGAGGGAAGGCAATGAATTAGGTGATTGCTTACCTGTGGAGAAGCGTGCTCTGCCTCGGGTACATGGCCCCCGTCCTCTGTCTGCTCCTCTGGTGTAGGAGAACTGTTGGCGATATCCCACTTCGGGGTAGAAAGGTTGGGGCCTCGCATTGCGGGGGCCTGAAGGCCAAAATCAGCTGGCAGCACAGCCCCTTTGGCGGCCAGCCCTTCCAAAAACACTCTAAACACTCTCCTCATAGAAGATTGAGCTTTGTTCAGAGAAGTAAATATATTTACATGTTTATTTAAGTCTTTGAGGAAAGGGTCTCCAAAGAGTTTGCCCTGTGCCAGAGGACCCAGTTCCCTGGTGCCCAATTCCCCCAACTTTCCGTCAATACGGAGTAAAGCTGCTTTGCGCTGCTCAGATGAGAGGGCGGCATTGGTGTTACCTACAAAGCAAAAGCATCTTTGTGCCCACTCCCGGACATCGTGAGCCCATTCGCGAACCATGGTCGCGTCAAATTGGTCTGCTTTCGTGAGAGCGTCATCTGCCAGGTACATGATCCTGGAAAGTGGTCCCACTGAATCCAGTAGTTTGTCCTGGGCTGCTCTGAACCCTTTCTCCACGCCTTTGTGTGGGTCACGGCCCCCAAGGGACATAAAGGTGGTCATCACCTGGTCAAACTCTGGTGTCTCTGCTACGTGGTCTGGTAGAGAGGGTCTTGGACACTCGGAGCGTAGCCTGTTGCGAACTGTTTTTAACATGGATTTTCTGAGCCAGAGATGCATAAATTTTGCTAGGTGATCTGGGGGTGTCCAGTCCCCTGATCGAGGGTGTCGTAGGTTTCTTTGGTCGAACAATCTCTGACCTGATGGGTCGAAGATAGCGTCCTCGTCTTCCTGCGGGTTATCTGTAGCGTCATGTACTTGGGAGTCTCCCAGTAGAGTGTGTGGTAAGAGTCCGGGTTGAGACTCAGAATTGGTACCCCAAGGGTCTTCTTGCTCGTCTGACTCATCAGCTTGCCCCTCATCTATAATGGCCAAGGATTTGGATTGTGCGTCTTCCTCCTCAGAGGAGTAGTTAAGCAGCGGAGTCGGGGTAGTGACCATAGAGGGCTTAAATCTCTTAGCCGGTGTTTTACCCTTAGCTGGGTTTTGTTGACCCTTTTCCCCTTTCCAGTGGCGTTTGCCAGTGGGGGGTTCTTGGCTCTTATGTGGTTCCGAATCCTCGGAATCTGAATTGTGTCGGGATTGGTGGGTTTTAGATGGTATCCTCTTTTCAGTATTAGAGGCCATCATTTTGGAGAGGGCCTTCTTCATGGAGGCTGCTATTGCCTCATTAATCATATTTTGGAAGTCAACTGTATTTTGAGAGGCTTCCATATTCTGATCAGATATACTTTAAATGGCACAGGGCGTAAAATAAATAGTATAGTTATAGATATAGAGGTCAGTGTAGCTGTACTTTATTCACTGTATAAGTAGCACTTTGCTGACCTCAGCAGGGAACAGTGGTGCGCAAACAGATAAGTTCACAATATACTGGTAATAATGTGAATGTGATAATAACCCCAGCAGGGTCTGTGGTGTACTGTATATGATGACCCCAGCAGGGTCTAGGATGTAGTAATCCACTTACAGGTATTAGCAGTGATGAGACTATGTTGCAGTCACTGATAGTGTCAATGTAATAACCCTAACAGGGTAATCACCACAATATTGGGATTTAGTATTGTGCTGGGCCTCACCCAGTGTGACAGAGGTGGCCACAGGACGACCTCCAATAAAGCAGCAGGTTTAATGGAGCAGCACCCCAGACAGACACAGGAGATGGTGCCTCTGTACAGTAATAATAATAACTGACTGACCTCAGAACGCTTATGGAGGAAAAAGACTCAGGCTCTGGAAGCTAGGTGAGCCCTGCAACAAAAAAACGCCGTTCAGTGTGTGTCCCTCGCGGCGCTCAGATGAAAATTAAAATGGCGGCCACAATCTCGCGAGACACGAGATTGCAAATGGCCGCCGCGCCTGTGAGGAAAGGGGATGGAAAGTCGCGAGGGCTGTAAAAGTGCGTGCCGATGTGGCGGTAAGGGGCTAGGGAGGCGGGGGACGACGGGAAGTGAAAGGAGGGCAGGAAAGACCGGAAAGAAGAAAATAGTGAAAAGACCGTAAAACAGCCCTAAAAAAGGGTTAAATGTATGGCAAGCAGTAAAACAGTAATACTAGTAGTCAGATACTGAGTAACAAAATAAATAGGAATAAAATCCAGTGAAAACACATAAGCAGTATGGAAATATATATATATAAATGGAAGAGCCCAAAACTCTGACCTGTCTGTGGTGTGAGCAGTAAGGAAAGAGAAGGAGGAGCCTATTTTGTGGGAATACCTTACTCCCTATTGCATTTTTGATTGGTTAAATGTTTACTTTCTTTACTGCTGTGGAGTTTAGTAAAGAGAGATATGCAAAATAGGAAGCCTCCTGTCATGTAATAAAATTAAGAACATTACCTTGTTGAACAAATTGCTTATAACATGATAAGTTGAAGGAATGTATTTATATGTATATATGCTAAGTAAAAGATTTGGCAGTAAACCCTATAAGTGACTAGGAAAAGTAATCCTGATCTGTTTTCTTACTTTTTCAGATATAGTAGAAACCAGGGGTGGACATTGGAACACAGATAGAATACCAAATGGAGACCAGTGTTGAAATGTTGACCTTTGATTAGCTATTGAATGTTTTATTTTATTTTTTTTAACATGACTATGCTATGATTTTGTGCATAATCTCTTATTTTTAATGATTATATTGCAATTGAAAACCTTATGTATTATTGTTGTATGTATATATGTATGCTTGAATAAATAAACAAAACAAAAAAAACTGTGTGTAAAGGATTGTCACTAAAAGTGAAAATCAAGCACACAGAGGTCTGGGATGGTGGTACCAGATCCACCAAAGGGCATGAACCAAATATTAATTAGAAAACAAAATGGATAAATATAATAATAATTATTATTATGATATTTATAGAGCGCCGTCAAATTCCGCAGCGCTTTACAATGGGTGGACGAACAGACATGTAGTTGTAACCAGACAAGTTGGACACACAGAAACAGAGGGGTTGAGGGCCCTGCTAGAGGGAGTGGGGTAAAATGAAACAAAAAGGTAAGGATAGTATTAGACTAGTGACAGTTGCAGAAGAGGACTCATAAGGGTGGGACTCAGTCTGGTTTTGAAATAAAGTCAGGGCTAGGAAAAACCTAACAGTGGTACAACCTGTGACTAAACCAGGGATAGAGACAGAGTTGTGGCCCTAAAGTTAGCCAAAGACTGACCCTGGTTTAGTCACAGATTTTACCACTGTTAGGTTTTTCCTAGCCCTGACTTTATTTCAAAACCAGACTGAGTCCCACCCTTATGGGGACTTATTATATTTATCCTTTTTGTTATCTAATGTATGTATGCTTGCCTGGGAAAGGGGGAATTGACCCATAGGGACCCGGGGGTATTTGTGTAAACAGAACTGAGGTGGGAGGGCTCCAACGAGGGAACCCCATAGTCCAGTAGGTGCTTGATTCGTGTCTCTGTAAAGTGGAAGAAAACAGAAGAGTGATAAGAGGGATAAGAGAAAGTAGGCATTTAGGGTTATCTATATATGTTTAAATAGAAGGGTGGTAAATTGATAAATTGGAATTTATTTTGCTTTGCTGGGTGTTTATGTTAAATTGGTTAAATACAACAATGATATTGTGTTTATCTGAGAATCAGGAGTGTGTTGGGTGTGAAGAGAGAATTCTAAGGAGGTGTGTGGGTACTTACTTAACATCATTGGGTAAATATAGCTAAGACACCACAATCAAATAGAACTTGTGATAATTGGCACAAAGTCATCCGCCATTTATGTCTGTGTACGTCATTGCCTGTGTTTTGATTTTAAGAACTTTCCAGCAAGGAGATTTTTATTGCAACTCATGAACCAGAAGAAGAAGAAGCTCTGGACACTCTACTCAACTGTTGAAGTAAAATATTGCAGCTGAGAGTGATGAGAGTAGGGACAAAATGCATTAGTAGCAGGAAACTGTGTAACGTGAAGGTGATAAAAGGAATGTGACCACAAAACATACAAAAGTCCCTGAACACATGAACTGTTCTTATGAGAAGAAATACTGAAGCTGAGAGTGATGGGAGTAGGTTAAATAATACATCCAGAGCAGGATACTGTGACAAGTGACCAAAAAACACACATAAGTCCCTGTACACATGAACTATTGTTTTACAAAATCCTACGTCCTTGTTTGCTCAAATTATTTAATTCATCCCTGCCTCCATGCGTAAGAGAGTATCCAGTTTCCAGGACTAATGTTTGTGAAAAGGCCAGGCACACAGACCAACCATAGGCTACAGAAAATGAGCTCCAGTGACTGTCCGTCTATGTCATGATTCACAGGTGTTATAGGTTTGTCGTCTAATGCAATTTTAAGCTCCAAAACACATCCTCACATGAACACAATATCATTGGTTAATCTAATAAAACGTGATTTGTGTTATTCGTTATTATAAGGGTGGGTATGTGCCTACTTTAGGCCAAGGTTTCCCAACTGGTAATGCATGTGCTCAATGGTGAACATTTGAATAAGCAATAAAGTGTCACAACGTTACGAGTAAATGGGTATTGTCCTTCAAAAGGCAGGTTTTGTTGTAGGGCAGGTAGTGTTAAAAAAAAATGTAATTAAGCAACTGTAATAGCCTTTTGTAAGTAATATGTTATAGTTTTGTATTGTAATATTATTGTAGTAAACTGACATTCTGCTAGCATCTGTTTACTTGTTATCATGACTATATTAAATTACTTGTTATTATAATTATATTAAATATAACAATGTTTTGTGTATTTTCTATCCACATATTCAACCATAATACCACAAACTATAAAAAATATTAATGTTGTTACTTATTGCTTAATTATTTTATATTAATTAAAAGATTAATATTCATATTTAAGTCATGGCCACAACACTATGGTAATGTCATAGCATGTCGCACATACATCATCAAGGGTGGACTTCCAGGGTTTAGAATGGGGTCACACCACAACATTTGGAGTTGATCCCAGTTATTTGTGAGTGATACAAAAGATTTCTTTATAAATACAATCTTTTGTTTTTTGATCATAAGGCAAAAGTCCAACACTTTATATGTATTAAATTCTCGCCGTCCCCACTATCCGTGATTTTGCTCTGGAATCCCTGTTGCAATCTTGAAATCTCTAAATATATATTATATTTCTTCACATAGAGAGCACTAAGAGGAAAAAAAACACACATATTAACAATCTGGTCAATGTTTCAGTCCTACCACCAAGATGAAGGTCCTGGGGGTAAGACAAAAGCATTGAACATATTGTACATATGTCAAGAATATATGTATTTAACAAGAGCCAAATAGTGATGGCTAAATGACTAGGTCAGAGCAGGGCTGGATTAATGACAATAGGATCATCATTTTTAAAAAGAAAAATGTATTGAAACTTAAGAGAGATGTAGGGGAGCAAAACTTGTGTTAACTGGCTGACAATGAAATTAGTCAAGGTAAAGCTGACTTTGCGCACTATACAAATGCTCTTGCTGCTTTAGTCTCTCTGTGGCATCTTCCCTTTCTTCTACACTCACTACATACACCTTTCCTCTGCCCCAGACTGTATAACAGAAGCTTCTGCCTGCTAGTAAGAAGGTTAGGAGAGGAGTGAACAAGTGAGTGCTAGAGGACAGTCCTTAGAAAGAGAGGGCATCATTAGATGCATTTATGCCAAACTCAGTGTGCTGTCTGCATGGTTTGCCCTTTGTTGGCAAGCATGCATTTACACCAGGCTGACCTTCCAATTCTTCAGGCAGACATGATTTAGTTGAAAGAGGAAAGCAAGAGATTAGCATAGGGTGTATGTTTAATATAGCTATATCCTGTGAGTTTCCCTCCAGCACCACCTCCACCAGTATACAGTAGTTAGTAATGACCAAAGATGGTGCAAAGAATGACAACTGGGTTTTGGGTGCCAAAAGTTAATTGTTGCACGTGGGGAGTGTAAATACGGCTATAGATAAATCTAGTTGCCACTATAAGCCCTGGCTTGAGAGTGCCCCAAAGAGCCAATTCTTGCGCCTTTGCAGGAACTGCTCAGAAATCACAGTTTTTAATGAACAAGCCAAGTTTAAAAAAAAAAAAATTATGGAAAAAAACTATTTAGAATCAGATTTAAATAATACAATTAATATAGTAAAACAAAAAGAACGTAAAGACCTCTTGATTTACAAAATAAAAAAAAAATAATGAACCAATATCCCTTCCTGTGATTTTCAATTTTAACAATAAAAGCAATGATGTTAAAAAAATAATAAAAAAGCATTGGCATATACTTAAACATGATGAGATACTCAATCCAATTATACCAACATACCCAAATATTGTTTTTAGAGGAGCACCTTATTTTAAATCTATTCTAACTACCAATTTTACTAAGGAATCCCCTACCAAGAACTTTTCTTTTTTTCCTCAGACGAAAGATTTTTATAAATGTAAACAATGTATAGTATGTAGAACTACAGACTCTTCAGTTCCATCTAAAGTCACTCAATTTATGTCAAACATGACCAAAAAAGTGTATAATATTTATGATTTTATCTGTTGCAATACGAAGAATGTTATTTATCTGCTTGAGTGCCCATGTGGCCTCCAATATGTGGGGATGACCACAAGGTGCTTAAAGATAAGACTGAGCGAACATTGCAGAAATATCAAAAATGGATACTTAAATCATACAGTATCCAAACATTTTATTATGCACAACAAAGATCCATATCTACTTAAATGTATTGGTATAAAAAAATGTTCTACCTCTTGGCGTGGAGGAGATTTAAAAAAGTTACTTGGAAAAACAGAAATGGAATGGGTGTATAATCTCCAGACCCTTATACCCCATGGTCTTAATGCAGATTTTGATCTGCATAACTTTTTATAATAATGAGTGATTGTGACTGTATTTTTAACCTGTTCTTACTCTGTATTTTTAAGGTTTTTACTGTTGTTTTTTTAAATACTGTTTTTTTAAATAATGTTGCTATTTAACAATGTTTATTTAATTTTGTTTTATACTTCATCATTTTATTTTACATTACAAAACATATCCTTATGGTGAAAAATATCAATAGGACTCAATGTATTTGTAAATTTATTTACATGCCTGCCATTCCCAATATGGCCCCTTTGCATCTATTTGCCCTTCCCAAGATGGTCACATCCTACTCTTAGCCAGAAATTACACCCTCCTCCCTTCTGGTTTCCCGGCCGCCATTCGCGGCCATTACAAACTACATCTCCCATGCGGCTGTGCGGTTTACTTCAGGTATGCGGAAGTGCCGAAAATCACGTGGGAGATTTCAAACGTTTAATTCTATATCTTCCCACCCTCGTTTTAGTTATTAACACATTCTATATATGTCAGGTTACTATAAAGTATCCCCTCATATAGTTATTTATGAGTTTTAAATTCGCTTATTTAATCTTAATCTGATTGGCTGGACCATTTTTGGCGCCAATATTCTAATTACCCTTGTTCTTATATAACACTAATATGCCAGGTATTGTATGTTATTCCATTTGAAAAAGTCTTTTGACGAAACGCGTTATGGAAATTTTATATTGTATATTTTTGTATTAAAAGTATATTTGGTAATTTGTTTGTGCCAATTATATTTTTTACACACAACTTTTTATTTATTTTTGACCCTGGCTTTTTATCATTTTATTTAATTTTTTACCCTTGTGTTTTTGTAACTGTTTGGAAGCTTCCTGCACCCCAAGAAATCCTAGGTGGGGATTAATCCACTTATGCTGATATCACAGAGCAGTCCGTCTGCTCTCTATTTGTACATTTTTATTTAATTTATACTGACACTGTTATACAGTGAGCACTATTGGCTGTTCCTTTTTTCCTGAGAACAGGACACCATTGACGGAGAGGTACCCACTACATATCCCATAAGCGGGGATTATACTGCTGTACGCGCCTTACCCTAGAGCTGAATATAAGCTCTTGTAAATGTGAGTTCTCTACCATTATTTTCTATCACATCCATATTTGAGCCTTACATATTGCACTATTGGTTGTCCCTCTCTTTTATCTTCTATATAAGTGGAACCACTACTATATCTGAAGACCCTACCACTGTACCAGCCTCCTTAAAAGACTATTCGTAAGGACATACAAGTTGGACTTCTTTTTATTTGGACTTTGCTTTATTTTATTTTGTTTTTAATATTTTATGTGGTGCAGCCTTTTCTATTGTTGCTTTTACTTGTCTTGTTTTAAAGGGTTTTGAGGGATTCCCCTTTAAGGGTTGCTGCCTATTAGTTGACCAGCGCTGTCTCATCCATTTATCATTACTATTTTTGAGTCACAGCAGCCTACTGAGAAGGGGGAGGGCCAGATAGGGGGTGTTTGTCATCACCAATGACAAGTATGCCCCCTCTCAAAGTGAGCAGGTTGGTTCAATGCTCTTGAAGGGTGCAATATGTGTGTGTGTGTGTGTGTGTGTGTGTGTGTGGAGTGCAGTGTGTGTGAGATGTGTACTGTTTGTGAAGGCTGCAGTGTGCGTGTGAAAGGTGCAATGTGTATGAAAGGTGCAGTGTGTGTGAACGGTGCAGTGTGTGTATGAAAGGTCCAGTGTGTGTGTGTCTGTATGAAGGGTGCAGTGTGTATGAAAAGTGCTGTGTGTGTCTGTGTGGAGGGTGCAGTGTGTCTGAAAGGTGATATGTGTATGTGTGTCTGTGTAAAGGGTGCAGTGTGTATGAAAGGTGTTGTGTGTATGTGTGTGAAGGGTGCAGTGTGTATGAAAGGTGCTGTGTGTATGTGTGTGTGTGAAGGGTGCAGTGTGTATGAAAGGTGCTTGTGTGTTTGTATGTGTGTGACTGTGTGAGGGATGCAGTGTGTATGAAAGGTGATGTGTGTATGTGTGTGTCTGTGTGAAGGGTGAGGTGTGTATGATAACACACTGTGTAAGTGTGTGTATGTGTTAAAGGTGCAGTGTGTATGAAAGGTGCTGTGTGTATGTGTGTGTCTGTGTGAAGGGTGCAGTGTGTCAGGAGTGAAGTGTGTGAAGGGTGTAGTTAGTTTTGTTTTGTGTGTGTGTGTGTTTGGTGTGCAGTGGGGGGAAGATGAAAGTAATATAAATATGTTTGTTTTTTTATTAAAAAAATAAAAAAATCTATCTTTACATCCCCCCTCCCTTCTTACCTTTGCCTGGGAGAGGGGACATAGAGGTGAATCCCTTAAATCCCTGGTGGTCGTAGTGGAGGTGAATTTCTGGTGGTCGTGAGTTAACAGTCGCGAGATCGGAGCGTTGCCATGGTGCTTGCTGGAGCTCCCCCGGGTCCTCCTTTCCTCTTCCTGCCAGCTGGCAGTTGCTTTTTAGTGCTAGTGGGCCAGTGGGCTAGTGAGGGAGATCTTTGATCTCCCCACTGGCCTATGAAGGCACACAGCAGGGCCGGCGCTCGGACAGTGTCGGCCCCGCATGGACCGGCCAGGGAGGGGAGTTCCTGTGATCTTTTACACTATGATTGTTGGGGATAAGTTCCTGGTCCCCAAAAGCAGAACACCAGGGGACTAATGCAGGATACGACCCTGAAAAACAGGACTATTCCGCTGAATTTGAGACTATTGGGAGGCAAAGAAGATGGAGAGTTAGCCATAGAG